AAAGTTTCGCCAGTCTCTGTGGCTGGCATCTTCAGAGGACAGGAAGATGCCGGCCTTGCTTGTTACAGCCAGCAAAGGACAGAAGGGACTCCCTTACCACTGCAGGAGTATACCGGATACCTTGCAGTTGTGGCCAGGTATATATTGGAACCACAAAATGTAGCATTCACACCAGAATCAAAGAACATGAGAGACAATGCAGACTAAAACAACTGGAAAAATCAGCAATAGCTGAACATGCCCTAAAACAAGCTGGACACGAAATTCTATTTCAAAATACTGAAGTACTGGACAACACCAGCAGTCATTATGTTAGATTGCACAGGGAAGCCATTGAAATCCACAAACACCAGTAGAGCTTCAACAAGAAAGAAGAAAGTTTAAAACTCCACAAAGCCTAGCTCCCAGCACTGAAAAATACAGCCTGCAAAAGGTCAACAAACTACCCAGCTACAAGGATTGGTGATCAGTGTACACAAAAGACCAGCTAACAACACCCATCAATCACAGTGACGGATAATCTCTCCCTCTTATCACAACAATACATCCACAACAAAAAACATACTGATCCCCAAAATCACCCAATCTCCTGAAAAGGACAAAAGCTGATCCCACAGCTATAAATGCTCAACTATCCAAGTAAACTGCACCAGAGCACAGACAGAGATCTGACTCCTGTCCTCTGAAGATGCCGGCCACAGAGACTGGTGAAACGTTAGGAAGAACAACCTTCAGAACATGCCCAAAGAGCCTGAAAAACCCACAACAACCAGCCTTAAGTTTGTTCGAGAGATATAAATTTAAGCAGATACATACAGTCATTAATTCCCCTGCCCAGGCCTCACTGAAGCAGCCATGCTATTGTGCAGTTCCTCTCAAGTTGTCCTGAGACATCTCCATCCATCTCCATGTTTAATGGGCCTCCGGACCTATCCGAGAACGCTGCTTTCCTTTCCTTTACAAAAAATGCATCTGCTTTTTTAATGGGTGGGGGCAGCGCGCATAGTTACATGATTGATTGGAAGGCTAATCAGAGGTAGTTGTGTCAGTGGAATACCAATACCTTAGTGGGTTAGGTCTCTGGCTGTGGGGCCAGAGGTTGGGAGTTCGATTCCCCCACTGTGCCTCCAGGGAGAAGAGCCAGCCTGGGTGGCCTTGGGGCAGCTGTACAGTCCCAGGGCGCCCCCAGGAAAAAAGGGAATGGTAAACGATTTTTGAATGTTCTCTACCTGGAAAACCCTGGAAAAGAGTTGCCATAAGTCAAAACTGACTTGACGCCACACGGTGGTGGAATTAAAACTCCGGGTTCTTCTTTGTGGCCTCTGTGAATCACACCCTGGGTGATTCGCGCCTGTGTGGAGCCTCATCGGAAGATTCTAGAGCTTCTGCGGTAGCAATAAACACATTAGACTATTACCCTCCCCACCCGTATAAGTACCTTGGCGCCAAGCATCCCCTTTCAGTTTCTTTCAACCGCCACATTGAGAGCCTCATAATTCTACTTCTGTGACTAAAAGAGAAAGAGAGCTTATTCTTGATTCCTTCCTGTTATCAGTCATAGATCAAACTCATTATCATCAGAGATTTTTCCTTTCCCCTCCTTCAGCCTCTGTCCGCAGCACACGCACACACACCCCTTCAATTGTCGGTTTTTCTCCTCAATTATTTTCTCCTATTCATGGCCCCTTTGGGCCCGTTTAAGCACTGTGTTGTCTGTGATAATAAGATCCACTTTCTGATGGACACACTAAGTGCCTTTTCTGTTTGGGAGAACATCAAACTTCCTCCTGTACCCATTGCAAAAAATTTAATTGTGTGATTGTGTGATTTGCAGAGTTCTTCGACCAAACTCCGACTTTGGGAATAATCCTTACAATCAGTTCAAATGGCCCAACTTCCCTGTAGGTCCACTTCCCAAACAAAAAAACAGCCGTTACTGAATCATCAAAACAACGTCCATCGGCTACACCTGCTCATTCCGATTCTCCATCTGCATTGTCTAAGACCTTGAAGACACACAAACCGAAACCCTCGATACCGAAGTCCTAGACTTCGAAAACAATTTCTAAACATCAGAGACTTACCGAAGCTGCTCCAGCTCTGGAGCCTGTTCCTCCTAAATGAGCGAAGCAGTCTAAGCCTACAGACATCCTACCACAACCACAACAACTCTCTGAATCAATTTCGGTCAGATCTCCCTCAGATGATGACAGACTTCTGTCCCATCAACCCTGTTCTCAGTCTCCAGAATGGGATGATAGAGTCGACCGACTAACGTCCACTCCTCCCAGTCCACAACCTTCGATTCCTCCCAGCAACCCTTCAGTTATTCCATCACCCAAGAATTCCCATCGCGAACAGCTTGGTTCCCAGTTCTCCGCGGTCTCTCATCAGACATCCACCATCTCCCCCGCCTGCCACACCTCACACACAACCAACTCCCAAGTCCTACACCTGGACTTACCTGTTCTGCACCTGGCAGCGTGGAGGATTCTCCCTCGTTAATTAACATTCTTCATCGTGCCAAAAAACCATCCACAAGGAAACCCTACCTGTACAAAAGGAAGAAATTTCAATCCTTTACCAAATCTTCCTCATCATCCTCCATCAATCCGTCACTTCCCATTGTTCTCCGCTTCCTCCTATATCTCAAATCCAAGGGCCTCTCCATCTCATCCTTGAGAGTCTATCTTTCGGCAATAATATCATACCAACCTCGAAATTCTCCAGCAGCAAATTTCTTCAAACATCCAACAACAAAATGTTTCCTGAAAGGTCTCTCTCATATCTGCCCCGATACTCGACCTCTCTCTCCACAAAGGTCACTAATTCTTGTTTTGAAACAGTTTGCCAAAGCTCCTTTTGAGCCATTAGCTACAACTGACTTAAGACTCCTCACCTTTAAAACAGCATTTCTTGTAGCTATCACCTTAGCTGGACAAGCTAGTGAACTGGCAACTTTACGCTATGACTACCCTTGTCTACAACTTTTTCCCGATAAGGTGAAGTTATTCATGGACACTTCCTTCTTCCCCAAAATTGTCTCTGAATTTCATCTTTCCCAGCCGATTGTCCTCCCTTCATTTTTTCCATCGCCTTCTTCAAACCAAGAAAAAATACTCCATACGTTGGATGTCAGAAGAGCTCTTGCTTTTTATCTCCAACGTACCCAGCCTTTTACACAGTCCTCTCATCTCTTCATAAGCCATCAGCTACCTACAAAAGGCTGTCAGGTGACTTCCCAATCTATCTCCAGATGGGTCACCTCAACCATTCATTTGGCTTATCAACTTGCTTGACAACCAGCCCCTAGAGTGGTTCGCCCTCGCTCCACCAGGGCGGTGGCAGCCTTTACAGCCTTTCTCCGCAGC